ACAGCTTAATACATTTTCTTAATATATATTTGTATTAATAATCAGTTATTCTTCTAAACATTTTTTGTATTTATCGTACGCACAGTGCGTTGCCACTACATTTGGGGCCCTTCCGCCTGATCAAAGCTGTCACTCCGCTTTTTTTGCCGGTCATAGCCCCACTGCCCCCATCTGAACACACACCCACACAATGAGACCAGTCACGTATTCATAAATATTCACTAGCTCTCACTTGCTCCAAAAGCTGAGGCAGAGCGGCAGCTCGATTCTGATTGGCTTGAAGGGCGGTCGTGTGAATTAAAAACAAAAAATATTAAAAGATTGGCATCAAAGGACAAAGGACAAAGATTGATAGGTATGCAGTTATAAATAACATCTAAAAAAACTCAAACTCCCCCGAGGGGTTGAAAAACACTGTACTATAGGACAGTAAAAAAAAATAAAAAAGTTCAAAAGGGGAGTGATTAGTAAAATATGCATAAATAAAAAGAAAGAATGCTAACTAGGTAAGATAAGAATAAACAAGTTTAAATGATTTGTTATTGGTTGTGATCATATTCTAAAGATGTTTGGATTATTGAAAATCATACAGCTCCCTTTCATATGAGTGTTGAGAGCTGTATCCATAAATTCATGTTGTGCTCAAAGTGCACCAGATTGAGGCATTTCACCTCAACATTAAAAAAAAAAACTTCCCGGGGGTGCATGCCCCCGGACCCCCCTAGAGGAGGTGAGGCCTATCCACCCCCAAATAAAGCAGGTTAAAATAATTAAATTGCATACATTTTCTTTTAGTAAACATGGAAAACGGGTCCCACAGACCCAAACAGCACACAAAGGTTAAAGGTAAGCATATAATAATGTTCAAATGTGCTAAATATATACACTGCAAAAAAGAGGAGTAAAAGTAGCTCACAACTTTTTTTTTTTTGTTGAAAGTAGCTCTCATCCTAAAAAAGGTTGGAGACCCCTGTTATAGAACGATACATTTCACAATTTTAAGCTTGGCCTACCATTTTATTGGAGCGATGAGGAACAGATGGGGCTTGAAAAGGCCCACCTGTTCAAAGTTTGAGAACCACTGCATTAATAATGAAAGGATTGGCAGGACATCGGCAGGTGACTTGGTCCATCTGGCTTTCTGTCGTTCATCTTGGTTTAGAGCAGTGGTTCTCAAAGTGGGGGGCATGACAGGGGGGCGAGAGACCAGGAGGAAAAATGGTTCTTAAAAAAAACAAAACATATTTTGAATAATTATTGATTCGAAAATAATATGATACAGTACTATTACGCCTGGGTCTCTGTGTTTCATTAAAGCTCGGCTGTGTGTGTGTGGAACGAGCCATTTTGTGTGTGTGCGCGAGCAAGAGAGAGAGACGCACTACGCTAAAGGATATAAGGAGTTTTTTCAACAACAAGGTGGAGGAGAGCCCTCGGTGAGCTAAAGGACTGTCCGTGTTATCTCAGTGGGTCTCAAACGTTTTGGTCACCATTAGTGTAAACAATTATTTCCGAGGAACACATTTATATGATCATTATAGTTATATAAAAACAAGAGAATAAATAAAAACAGCTATGAAATACTATATGATATGAAAACAAGAATAACGTTTTAAAAGGGTGATTTGTAAAATATCCATAAAGAAAAAGTAAATCTGTTTACAGTTCTGTTTCAAATGGGTGTTGAGAGATGTATCCATAGATCTCTTAATTTTGCTCTCAAAGTGCACCAGATTGATGCTTTTAACTTAAATATTTATAAATCTTCCCGGGGGAGCTTGCCCCCGGACCCCCCTATGTGAGGTCCACACACCACCTATAAAAATAGCACTTTACCCCTGCTTACACCTATATGCCGTGAGCTGATATCGAGCCTTCATTGTAACAGTCGCGGGTACATTGTGTATATGCTTGGGGAGTGTTGCAGTAGAAAATTCCACTGTAGCTCCCGGTACATTAATGGGAAACCCTAAATGTTTGAGCACCCTCTATGAAACGTCAAGCTACCCCACAGCCCCCCGAAAATAAATCTCTGGTGCCGCCACTGAGCCTGACTATTTGTGTTGGGGGCCCCGACTTTTTTCTCCAAAGGGGGGGCTTGACAGAAAAAGTTTGAGAACCACTGGTTTAGAGACATTTATCATGCACTTGCACTGACTTTCCACTGAGTGGCAGTGTATGGGATGATGCAATAGGGTCCTATGTAGTGGCTGATGGTGCAACTATGCAAAAACACAAAAACATGCATATACAAGAACCTTTTTGAATAGCTGTCCACTGTAGTGACTTCTATGCATGAAAGGGTTACAAATATTTAAGGAAAAACACTTTATAGAATCATGATTACAAACCTGAGCAATCAGGGCAAGTTTGAATAAAAACTATTTAATTATTATAGTATATAACGTATGCATTGGGTACATGTACAACAGTGTATTACAGTTCTGCCCATCTTCATCGTTTTTTCCCTTGTAATATGTATGTGTGTCTCCACTTTTTCTGACTTTCAGGTATCGACGTCGAGCAGGTTTCTGTGGTGATCAACTTCGACCTTCCTGTAGACAGGGATGGTAACCCGGACAACGAGACATACCTGCACAGGATTGGCCGCACAGGTCGATTTGGCAAAAGGGGACTGGCCATCAACATGGTGGACAGCAAGTCGAGCATGAACATCCTCAACAGGATCCAGGACCATTTCAGTAAGTCTGCAGCACACACACACACACACACACACACACACACACACACACACACACACACACACTCTTATACACAATCAAGTTGATGAGGTTATTTCATACTGTTTAATTTTGTTGGAGGAGGAATATCCATAATGGATGTTTTAAAAAGTGATCAGCCATGCGTCAACACTCTAAAAATGAACCCCGCTATTTTCTTTGGTTTCTGCCTCTGCAGGTAAGAACATCGAGAAACTAGACACGGATGATCTGGATGAAATTGAGAAAATCGCCAGCTAAAGAGAGCAGCGTTTATCACACCAAGGACGCCCCACTCCCCCTCCCCTCTTGGCTCTCCAAGTACTGTACGCTCTTACAGTGTTTTAGGCTTTTATTTCTTTTAGCTGTCAGAGTGAAGAGCAAAGCCACAAACGCAGCATATGTTTACAAGTGGATTCTGTCTCCCCTCTGACGAGTGTTTTGTATATCTCGGGAACATACCCCATTTCACTCTTTGTACTCTTTGAATAAAGTCTATGATTTTATTGCTGTGTATTGTAATAATGCAGCCACAGTGGGCTCTGTTTAACTGAACGCAGAGTTCAAAACACTATTTGGTTCTGGCTGTAGTGGTGGCATGATACAAACTATTCTGTAAAGAGATTTCCCAAAAGGAAAAATAACAATTTTATGTGCCACAGTTTTAAATTTTAAAAGGAGCAAAGTATGATTTGAATGTAAGCGTATCACGTAGATCATTACAGCAGTTACAGCTGTAAATTAATTGACTACAAAACCCCGGTACAAAGTGTGAAGTTGGGTTTGCTGCCGAGCGGTAGTTTAATCATTGAGATTGTTAATGAGGGTTATGGTTGGGTTTCAAGGGTCTATGCAAACTTATCAACCTGTGATAGCTATTTTCAAATAATATCAACCTGTATTCACATGAAATAAATGAATCCTGAATTAACCTCAGCTTTAGCGTCAGGGAGTGTAGTCAAATGGCTGCCTAGTCATAAGACTAATAACTCCAAGTCATGGACATACACATATTTTTTGTTAAGCTAGTATTTAACCATCATTCACCCACACATCTTACGCATGTCATTTATATCCTTTTTTAAATGATTACGGCTTTTATCAGGATATCTTGGCACCACTTCCGAGCATTAATCACTCATAAAACCTCATTTTATTTCTAATGTGGACATCAGTGTCACTCTTCATCATTGTTTCCAATCAGGGTCTCCAGTTTGACCCGACTCAGCTGTTATAACGCAATGCCTTCCTCAAGTGCATTATATAGACATATGATTTTGTTTCTAAGACATTGGGCTTCATATTCTGACTAACACTTGACATTTTGATTATATATTGAGCGTCTTTAGGATGTGTGAAACCAAATGCTGAATTGACTGAGGACCTATGCCAATCAGATTCATTGTGTTGCTTCAACACTGACGCATGGATAAATAAACATGTACTTGTGTACATATAAATAAGAAATAGGTTAAAGTAGTTTTTACTGAGTGTTACTTCTAAGAAGTGCAAAAAAAAACATTCCTCACAAGGTTCAATTTTGACAGACTTCGAATACGGTGAGCCTAAATCAGTTCATCTAGCATCAGAGGTACAAAATAATAGGAACAGTGGGTGGTCTGGTGCATTTGATAACACGCTGGAACATTAAGAGCAGTGATTTAACCTCGTACAAACCTCATCTGGCTCTCACCGAAATTAAGAAGACAGCTGGTGGTAGTCCGGTTTTAATGGACTGTTTACGGATGATTAGAAACAAGTGAGAGTGCTCTGTGAAAACTTTCGGGTAAAGAACCAATGTATGCAGTTTTATTTGGACATCTGGATGTAAAAATGATCAGTGAGTGTGTGCATTTTGTTGATCCATAATGTAAAAACCCACTGTACCAGAGCCATGGACACTCAAAGCAGTTTTGGCTGCAGGACTTAACACTCCTCTTCTCCACCTGTTGTATACCTTGTTTGATAATATTCAGAACCTACCAGAACCCTGTTCATACACATAGGAGTAATACTGCCCACGTTGTCTGTAACCTGAAGGTCATGTGTAGACAATGATAGGTTCAAGGTGTGTGGTATTCTGTAGCTGCGTTCATGGACACAGTTTATGTATTGTTAATATGAATTAAAACATGAACATGTTATCTGGATGAAGTTAAACACTTATTTGTCTGAGTGTGGTCATTATTTTGTTATTTACACCTACTGGGGTCATTCACTCAAAGTGAAGCTGCTTTATTCGTAAGTTTATTCTAGTTGTAAGTAAAGAAAAATAATATACACATTCAAAACTTTCTTACAAACATTGCACACAGCATTATGGAAATTATAAACAATCATTATTCCTCTGAGTTTCCACTGGAGATGCATTGCTCCTCTGACGTCTGCTGTGAAAACTGCAGGTCTAAGGAGGGAAAGAATTGGCAATACATCAGAAAAATGTACCAAACAAATAGTTACACACAAAAAAAGTACTTACTATGAAATGGTAAACTGACAAAGACATCAGGGCAAAAACTACACTTAGCATGTTAAGGAAATATGAGCCTTCTCACCTGTCTCTCTGTAGTCCACCCTGGTGAGGAAGAGGCCGTCAGGTGGAGCCACCATGGCTTGTGGGTAAGCGAGCGAGTCCCTAGCCAACAGTATCTCCTTCAGCTGGGGCACTGAGAGCCTCCCCTGCCCTACAGCCACCAGGGCCCCCGTCATCCTTCGCACCTGGACAAACAAACATTTTATGTATTCCACACATGGCAGTTAATTTAAAACAAAACATGTACACTTTACAAAGCATGTACTAGTTGTACATAATACTAGTTGTTTTTTTAAAACACATGGTGGAAAGGCGCAGCGAGAAGACAATCTTATTTAACCTGCCCCTTCTTACAAAGAAGCAATATTCTTTCAGTCACAGTTGCTTACAAATACTGAAACAAAAAACCAGAACCCAATCAAGTCAAATTCATACTGTCTAAATATGATTTCTTTATACATTTTCTTACATCCCTTTAAATCATTCGGCAAATAATTCCACTTCTTTACGCCAACTACAGAGACACACATTATTACATCATGACTTAAAATATCTCAGAAATGTATGCTGAATGAAACTTATTTATGAGATATTGCAGTTGTTGGGGAATAATTTCCCCTGCATGTCAGATTTCGCCCTCTGACGCAGATGAGCAGCCGCTATCTCCCTTAAGGAGGGGCTGCCCAAGCATTTTGTTGTTGTTACCAGTTTGTGACCGGGCAACTCTCGGTCAGAGATAGTTATTGTTGTGGGACACCTGGAACACATCCTTCTTGGGGTGGAGATGACCCCGAGCCATAAGCGACAACAACTGTGATTCAGTGTCCTCAGCTGTTTAGTCTATCTATTGAAGAATGTTGATTATTACACTCTGAACTAGTTAAAACCTGGAGCTACAGGAGGGTTCTTCAGAATTGATTGTGGCATCTCAACCGTGTGGTCAAACCGTGGCCCGTGACATGTCTTGTGAATTCACCGGCCGAAAGCTCCAAAATAAACCATCAGTGTTTGACATCAAAGCTCCAGCTCTCCATCGTGTCTCCTTGCTTCAGAGGTTTCCCCCACAGCAGTCATCACCATTGTAACACAGGCAAACCGGTCACTTGGCTTCCTACGCCGGAACCTGCGACGCTGTCCCCAGAAACTGAAGGAGACAGCTTTTGTGGCCCAAGTACGCTCTAAACTAGAGTACACCAGCTCGGTCTGGGACCCCTACACTGATAAAGACAGTGATGCCCTGGAATCAGTACAAAGAAGAGGTGCAAGATTCATTTTTGGAGATTATGAATGGGACAGCAGTGTCACAGAAATGCTCAAGCGGTTGAACTGGGTGGAATTGAGTGAAAGGCGGCGATTGGCTCGTTTGGTTCTCTTCTTCAAGATTGTCCATAACATCTCAGCCATTGATGCCTCCATGTACCTAGAGCCAGTTACAAGTGCAACCCGCAAAGCCAACTCTTTGAACATCGCTACTAGTGACACTCTTAAATACTCTTTCTTTCCGAGAACAATCAGAGAGTGGAACTTGCTACCAGAAGAAGCTGTCATCGCAGAGTCCGTGGAGTGCTTCCGGCAAACTTTAAGTGACATTTAGTGGGGATCATCCATCCCCCACTGAGCGTGATACCTCTGGGTTCTGCTCAGTATTAATCCAGCAGATGGTGCAACTCACTAACTGCATCACATTTGCAGACCTTAAAAGGAGAGTGAGAACAGTGAGAGGGACTGACCTGCTTATAGAGGAACGATCTGCTTGTAAACGTGATCTCCCAGAATGGTATTTCTCTGTAAAACCAAAAACAGGTGTTACATTTTGCACAACATATATATAGTATCCAAGAAAAGACAGAACATACAATTGTTAAACACAACAGCTGTTTATTTATTTCCAATTTGCAAATGCTTTAAGGCAGATTCCCAACACGTGTTAAACACTAATTAAACGTTACAATGATAATATTAGGTCCTCAAGGCATAGCAGTTGGCATCACTGACTGAATGTACCACTAAGTATTGCCACAAAGGTTGAAGTTATACATTTTAGAAGCAAAATAATATCTTGAATGGTCGTCAGATGTAATATAGCATAATACTGAGCCACATTGAGTGTAGATCTGAATGACACTCATTGTCTGATTATTATATGTATATCATTCTAAAAGTCTTTAAAAATGTATTTCATCAGTCCCAACCATGTTCTGAAAGTGAATTATTCATTTGAACTAAAAAGTGTTCATGTCTCATGTGTATTTTATGTAAAGACATGTCCTCTCTTTGTCTCTCTTTAAAGAGAGGACCCCCCCCCCACAGTTAGGTGCCGATGGGACGCTCATGCTGCCAGACATCATCAGATAGAGCCGGGCCTCTCCTCCTTCACAGACTTGTTTAAATGTCACATGCTGAATACGCCACCTCTCTGAAGAACCAGCACCTTACCGTGGTAGAGAGGTTTGTGTGCCCTGATGAACCTGGGGGCTGTGTTGTCTGGAACCTTGTGTTCCTGGTAGGGTCTCCCATGGCAAATTGGTCTCAGGCAAGGGACCAGACTAAGATTGGTTCAAAAGACCTCATGAAAGACGAGGATACCCGGGGTCCCCTTCTGGAGCCAGGCCCAGAAGGAGGACTCGTCGGCGAGCGTCTGGTGGCCGGGCTTGCCACGGAGCCCGGCCGGGCCCAGCCCGAAAAGGCAACGTGGGCAACACCTCCGCTTCTCCGTCCCGCGGGCCCACCACCTACGGGAAACAGCGATGGGGTCGGGTGCGCTGCCAGAAGGGTGGCAGTGAAAGCGGAGGGTCTCGATGGACCAGACCCGGGCGACAGAAGCTGGCTTTGGGGACGTGGAACGTCACCTCTCTGGGGGGGGAAGGAGCCGGAGCTTGTGCGGGAGGTGGAGCGTTACCAGTTGGATCTGGTTGGGCTCACCTCTACGCACAGCGTCGGCTCTGGAACCTTACTTCTGGATAGGGGTTGGACTCTATTCTTCTCCGGAGTTGCTCAAGGTGTGAGGCGCCGGGCGGGTGTGGGGATACTCACAAGTCCCCAGTTGGGTGCTTCGTTGTTGGAGTTTACCCCAGTGGACGAGAGGGTCGCCTCCCTACGCCTGCGGGTTATGGGGGGGAAAACTCTAACTGTTGTGTGTGCTTATGCACCCAACAGCAGTTCAGAGTATACGGCCTTCTTGGAGACCCTGGAAAGAGTCCTGTATGGGGCTCCTGAAGGGGACTCTTTAATCTTGCTGGGAGACTTCAACGCACATGTGGGCAATGATGGAGACACTTGGAGGGGCGTGATTGGGAGGAACGGCCCCCTGATCTGAACCGGAGTGGTGGTTTGTTACTGGACTTCTGTGCTAGTCATGGATTGGCCATAACAAACACCATGTTCGAACATAAGGATGCTCATAAGTGTACGTGGTACCAGAGCACCCTAGGCAGAAGGTCCATGATCGATTTCGTTATCGTATCATCGGACCTGAGGCCGTATGTTTTGGACACTCGGGTAAAGAGAGGGGCGGAGTTGTCAACTGATCACCATCTGGTGGTGAGTTGGGTCGAGTGGCGGGGGAAGCCTCTGGATAGACCTGGTAAGCCCAAACGTGTAGTTCGGGTGAACTGGGAACGTCTGGAGGAGGCCCAAGTTCAGGAGGCCTTCAACTCACACCTCCGGTGGAGCTTTTCGGCATTCCTGTGGAGGTTGGGGACATTGAACCAGAGTGGTCGGTGTTCAAAGCCTCTATTGCCGAAGCCCCGGCGGGGAGCTGTGGTCTCAAGGTCCTAGGTGCCTCAAGGGGCGGTAACCCTCGAACCTCCTGGTGGACACCGGTGGTCAGGGAAGCCGTCCGACTGAAGAAGGAGGCCTTCAGGGATTTGTTATCCTGGGGGACTCCCGAGGCAGTTGCAAGGTACCGACAGGCCCAAAGGGCAGCAGCCTCATCCGTGGCCGAGGCAAAGCAGCGGGTGTGGGAGAAGACATGGAGAAGGACCAAAGTTGTTCTGGAAAACTGTCCGACACCTCAGGAGGGGGAAGCAGGGAACCATCCAAGCTGTGTACAGTAAGGATGGGACGTTGTTGACCTCAACTGATGGAGTGTTAGGGCGTTGGAAGGAACACTTTGAGGAACTCCTGAACCCGACAACTCCGCCCTCTATGTTAGAGCTGGAGTATGACGGGGGATCAACACCAATCTCCCGGGGGGAGGTCACTGAGGTCGTCAAACAACTCCACAGTGGCAAAGCCCCGGGGGTGGATGAGATCCGCCCAGAAATGCTGAAGGCTCTGGGTGTTGAGGGACTGTCATGGTTGACACGTCTCATCAACATTGCGTGGAAGTCGGAAACAGTACCGAAGGAGTGGCAGACCGGGGTGGTGGTTCCCCTTTTTAAAAAGGGGGATCAGAGGGTGTGTGCCAATTACAGAGGCATCACACTACTCAGCCTCCCCGGGAAAGTTTACTCGAAGGTACTCGAAAGGAGGGTCAGGCCGATTGTCGAACCTCAGATTGAGGAGGAACAATGCGGATTCCGTCCTGGTCGTGGAATGACCGATCAGCTTTTTACTCTCGCAAGAATCCTGGAGGGGGCCTGGGAGTACGCTTATCCGGTCTACATGTGTTTTGTAGACTTGGAGAAGGCGTATGACCGAGTTCCCAGGGAGTTACTGTGGGAGGTGCTGCGGGAGTATGGGGTGAGGGGGTCTCTACTCAGTGCCATCCAATCTCTGTACTCCCAAAGCGAGAGCTGTGTCCGGGTCCTCGGCAGTAAGTCAGACCCATTTCTGGTGAGGGTTGGCCTCCGCCAGGGCTGCGCTTTGTCACCAATCCTGTTTGTAATATACATGGATCGGATTTCGAGGCGTAGTCATGGGGAAGGGGGTCTGCAGTTCGGTGGAATAAGGATTGCACCACTGCTTTTTGAAGATGATGTGGTTCTAATGGCTTCATCGGTCTGCGACCTTCAGCACTCACTGGATCGGTTCGCAACCGAGAGTGAAGCGGCTGGGATGAGGATCAGCACCTCCAAATCTGAGGCCATGGTTCTCAGCAGGAAACCGATGGACTGTCCACTCCAAGTAGGGAATGAGTCCTTACCCCAAGTGAAGGAGTTCAAGTATCTCGGGGTCTTGTTCTCGAGTGAGGGAACAATGGAGCGTGAGATGGGCCGGAGAATCGGAGCAGCGGGAGCGGTACTGCAGTCGCTTTACCGCACCGTTGTGACGAAAAGGGAGCTGAGCCAGAAGGCAAAGCTCTCTGTCTACCGGGCCATTTTCATTCCTACCCTCACCTATGGTCATGAAGGATGGGTCATGACCGAAAGAACGAGATCGCGGATACAAGCGGCCGAGATGGGTTTTCTCCGCAGGGTGGCTGGTTTCTCCCTTAGGGATAAGGTGAGAAGTTCGGTCATCCGGGAGGGACTCAGAGTTGAGCCGCTCCTCCTTCACGTCGAAAGGAGCCAGTTGAGGTGGTTCGGGCACCTAGTTAGGATGCCACCTGGGCGCCTCCCTAGGGAGGTGTTCCAGGCACGTCCAGCTGGGAAGAGACCAAGGGGTAGACCTAGGACCAGGTGGAGGGATTATATCTCTTCGCTGGCCTGGGAGCGCCTTGGGATCCCCCAGTCAGAGCTGGTTGATGTCGCCAGGGAAAAGAAAGTTTGGGGCTCTCTGCTGGAACTGCTACCCCCGCGACCCGACCACGGATAAGCGGGAGAAGATGGATGGATGGATGGATGGATGGATGAATACGCCACTGCAGTTTAGGCCCGGCTGGATTATGTGTGATGCCATGACAAAAATATGAATCTTCCTCGTTTGCAATGTGACATTACATTTTTCTTGCCGTTTGTTCCAAATCTGATAACTTGGGGAAGAATGAGCCGAGCAAACAGGCACATGTGAAGAATTAGGTCAAATGTAAATTTGAGTCAGCGCTTGCCGTCTGATTTCATTTGATATGTAAGAATGCAGAGACAGGTATATACAGCAAGCCTGTTAGCTCATGGACTCTGGTGAGGGACATCCTAATGTGGATAGACAAAGGCTGTGTCTCATGTTGCACTGTCTGTGTGTGTGTGTGTGTGTGTGTGTGTGTGTGTGTGTGTGTGTGTGTGTGTGTGTGTGTGTGTGTGTGTGTGTGTGTGTGTGTGTGTGTGTGTGTGTGTGTCTTTTCTGTTTGTAAAGGATATTGATAAAACGCATTAAGGTTTTCCAGGCATCTAACTGAGAAAATGATCAATTAGAATTTCAACAGAACGTTAATGTTTAGATATATTATGAATTGTTTGAGGGATTTCTAAATCAACAAGTTTGCAGTACAGTTGTGCCAGCATCACTGTGAGAAGATACGTAGGTACAGTGGTGCTTTGAGCCTAATGCATAAGGGACCATGTGAGGCTGCACTAATGACTATACCAACATGCTAATAATGATAATGACAAAATACTAATGTTAAGCAGGACATGATGTACCCTCTGATTATGCTAAAATGTGCTCATTAGCTCTAAACCCAAATCACAGCTGAGGCTGATGGGGATGTCATTAGTTTGGCATGTTTTGGTTACTAGCCAAAGTTCTGAGCAATTTAAAATGTTGCCCTGTAGATGGTGCTCATTAAAGGAATGTCCAGTTAATTATATTTCAACCTGAATGGAACATGAATATGTTTAACAAATGTCATAGAAACACATCCAATAGCTGTCAAGATTTTTCACTGGCTCTGGGGCATTTTGTTGTAGATTGTCCCTCTTTTAAAGCCGTTTATTATTTAAGAAAAAAGTAACAGCAAATTAATCAAGAGCTCCGCTGCAGGTTTTCATTCATGGCATTTCTGTAAAAATATAACTACACTATGATGAACATGCAACCATAGACACCCTAGTGTAAAAAGCCCTGATGCTCACAGCTTGTTGATGCACCATGTGTGCGGGGGGTTAAGGGACTATGTGACATTTACTTGGAACTGAATTCATTAAAGACAATAACTTGGACTTTCTGTATCTGACCGAAACATGGCAAAAACCCCTGGACTATTTTTCTTTAAATCAAATCACCCCAGCAGGATTCACATACATTGACAAACCTCACCCACAAGGGTGGGGTGGTGGTATAGCTGCTATTATCAGAAAGGAAATAAAGGCTACCATAATCCCCATCCCTGATGTTTCTTCATTTGAACACCTGATCTTCAAACTCTCTGGTCCCACTCCCCTGGTCACAGCCATCATCTACCGTCCCCCGAAGCCAAACCCCTCCTTTCTCTCCGACCTCTCTGACATTCTCACTCAGCTTTCTGCCATATCCCCATCTGTTCTCCTCTTAGGTGATTTTAACATTCATGTTGACGACCCGACCTGCAAATATGCCTCTGAATTTAAGGAAACCCTTCATTGCTGCAACTTCTCTCAACACATCAACTTCCCAACACACAGCCGTGGTCACATCCTGGACTTGGTCTGCTCCACTGGTCTCACCATCCATCATCTGTCCAGCCCTCAATCTCCACATCTCTGATCACCTGGCCATCATCATGGACATCAACATCCCCATCCCCGCCCAAAAGCAAAAACGCACAATAACCTACAGAAATCTCAAATCCATCTCACCTTCAGCAATCACTGCCTCCATTACCTGCAAGATGTCTGTCTCCCCCCCCCATTTTCTGAAAACCCATCTGAACTATTATAACAGCACCCTCTCCTTCTGTCTCAATGAACTGGCCCCCACAAAAACAAAAAATGTCTCTTTCATACACTCTGCCCCCTGGTATACCCTGAACTCCGCCAAATGAAATCAAGGAAACATCAACACAATAAAACCACACTAACAGTCCATCTTCAAATCTACAAAGACTATCTCCAGCAGTACAGTAACGCACTCAAAGCAGCCCGGTCTAATTACTACTCACAACTCATTCAGTCTGGCTCCAGCAACCCCAAGTGTCTGTTCTCCACCATCAGCAAACTTCTCAAACCCTGTGACAACGCCACCTCATCCTTCACCACCGAACAGTGCAACTCCTTCCTCTCGTTTTTCCAAACCAAAATCAGCAACATATACAGCAATATGACACCATCATCAGCACCCCCCACCTCCCCTCCTGGCTCCCCCCCTTCACCTCACGGCCCCTGTCCCACTTCTCCCCTGTGACCCCCATGCAACTGTCCCACTTCATGACTGGAATTAACTCCATCTGCACACTTGACCCAATGCCCTCCAAATGTGTTAAAGAGAGCCTCCCTGCCATCTCCCAACTCATCGCCACCATCATTAACTCCTCCCTCAGATCTGGATCAGTTCCCCCCTCTCTCAAACTGGCCGCTGTCACATCCATTCTCAAAAGACCTGGACTCACACCTGACATCATGTCCAACTTCCGGCCCATCTCAAATCTCCCCTTTCTGTCAAAAATACTTGAACGTGTCATTGCCTCACAACTAAAATCCCACCTCAGCTCCAATGACTTCTTTGAGCCATTTCAATCCGGTTTCCGATCAAAACACAGCACAGAAACAGCTCTTCTGAAAATAACAAACAACCTCCTCCTCTCCTCTGACTCCGGCAACCTGAACATCCTCCTCGACCTCACCGCAGCATTCGACACCATCAACCACGCCATCCTGCTGTCCCTCCTCGAATCATCACTCAACATCACAGACACTGCACTCTCCTGGCTGAAATCCTACCTCACCGACAGACATCAGTTTATCAACATCAACAACTGCACCTCCTCCACTGCTCCTCTGTCCCAAGGCGTCCCCCAGGGTTCGGTGCTTGGCTCCCTCCTCTTCATCCTCTACATGCTCCCCCTTGGCAAAATAATTCGTCGCCACAACCTTCAATTTCACTGCTACGCCGATGACATCCAACTTTATATCTCAACAAAAACCATCACCCCCACAACACACTCCACTCTCACCAACTGTCTCTCAGAAATAAAAGCATGGATGCAAACAAACTATCTCCAACTGAACAGTGCCAAATCAGACATCATCATCATCGGCCCCCCATCCCGTACCAAAGCCATCCAGAATTTCAACTTCACCATTGACAGCCACACTCTATCTCCCCCCCCTCACATCCGCAACCTCGGAGTCATCTTTCGACAGTCAGCTCAAATTCAACCACCACATCAATCACATCACCAGGACCGCCTTTTTCCACCTCAAAAACATTGCCCGTCTCCGCCCATCACTCTCCTCCTCTGCTGCTGAAACCGTGATTCATGCATTCATCACATCACGACTCTACTACTGCAATAGCATCCTCTACTACGGCATACCATCCAACCTCCTCAATAAACTCCAACATATCCAGAACTCTGCTGCCCGCCTTCTCACCCACACCCGCTCCCGAGACCACATCGCTCCCATCCTACAGAACCTCCACTGGCTCCCCGTCCGTCAAATAATTAACTTCAAAGTCCTCCTCATTACTCACAAAGCCCTCAACAATCAGGCCCCCACTACCTCACAGACCTGCTGCACCACCACACCCCTTCCCGCTGCCTCCGCTCATCAGAAGCCAACCTACTATCCATCCCCACCCGCACCAATCACCGGACCTGGGGGGACAGAGCCTTCTCCGTCGCTGCCCCCTCCCTCTGGAACTCACTCCCACAACCCATCAGAGACTGCACTGACCTCACCACCTTCAAAAACTCACCTCTTCAATCTGGCTTTTAATGTGTGATTGTTTTTGTATTATTTGACTTTAACTATATATTTATTTGTTGTTCCTTTCTTTTCTTTTCACTATATCTGTAAAGCGTCTTTGAGCACCTGTAAAAGCGCTAACTAAATAAATCTATTATTATTATTATTATTATTAACTGCAAATCATCTGCCCATGTCCATATTGTGCACCATATTCTCAGGGCAAGTAATGAATGCGGTTAAGGTGGTACTCCCCATGCAGAGGGACCCCCATGGACCTGTAATCTCCAAAAGCTCTCTCTCTCTCTCTCCGGCTCACATATCACATAACTATATTCATGTAAAATAAAAGGTGGACTGAAATCCAAAAGAATACGTGTGTCCGACTTGTCTGGTTTAGTAATACAATGCTGTACTGATTTGGAGTCATTGTTTCACATGACATGAGAGCTATTGAAAACAATCAAGACTTTCCAATTAAACCCCCAGCGATCTTAATTTAAATGATATTTATTTTGCAGCCCTATATTAAACTACAAATTGAGTTTTGAGTCCAGATTATAGTCTACTCAAAATTTGATGATAATATCATATCAAACAGGCCACTGAGTCGGATTGAAGCTTGAAAGGGATTATTTTCATGCAGAGTGGAGTACCTGTAAATGATTCAAAGACATTGGCCAATTTCCTAAGCATCAGTTGATGTAAGATTGAGAAACACAAGACTAAAGTGTTTGGAGTGTGAAAGCACATGCATTATTCTTTATTTTCTATGCCTTTTTCTCCAATTTGGATAAAAAGTATTAACTGGGAGCACTGTGCTGTCTCCCACTACTTTTCACAATGATTTTTTCATCTAAATCTTGGCAAGAAAGTAAATACTCGTGCATTTGACCATGATAGATTATTTGTGTAGCTTTTTAAAATATATTTATGTTTTTTAAAAAAAATGTAGGTTGCACCGATTCATGTTTTATACTAAATATATAAAACAGACTAAGTGTAATAAAGACTTAACGAAACCACACCGAATTATCACCTGACTAGGCAGTTCCCAGCAGTTAGCTAGACATAGCATTATAGCTCATTGTTTTGGTAAGGACCACAGCTTTGTTTCACTCCCACGGGGCGGTACCTTATCTTTCCAGCACACTGACAAAGTGAGCTGCTAGCTGGTGAATATAGAGCATTTAGTTGTTAAAGAGCCCTAAGGAGTTGGTGGAGAGCAAAACAGAACTAAAAGAAGAGCTGATATCACACTTACATTCATCACAATTCACAAATGCTAAACTGTTCAGGATGTGTCAAAAGATATGAAAAGATATGTCAAGGTTATGTTTGAAGCTTGTTTGTTTGACCCCAAGTGCTCCAAAAATAGGTATGCAGCTGTTTCCTTTGCTGACTGCCGGCCTACCTGAGTATAAACAGCCTACCTGAGGAAATGTGTTTGTACGAAAGATCTTCCTGGTTGTATGCTGACCACATCAAGCGTCTTCACAGGATTTTTAAAATGGATGTCAGAGCTGACTGCCCTGAAGGTGCTGAAGTCCTGAGTCCCAATCAGCAGGGTGGCAGCCTCGCGCATGGCTCCCACATCCAGCTCCCTGATCAGAGACAGAAACAGGAGACATTTCTATTTAATAAGTGATCGCTAATTTGCAATACCTTAATCCATTTTGTAGCTTCATTTCACAGAGAGGACAGGCAGCGGGGATATGGTGTGCACTTTAAGTACCACAGGTTTTCAGGAACTTCATGTTCCAGCTTTCAAAATAGAATAATTTCTTGGTGGTGTTATATAATATTAACTTTTCTGATGCACAACACCATGTGACAGAGAGGAGCATGTCGATGAGCAGCTCGTTCGAGGAAGAGACTGAAAGTTGGCCCAGTGCTGCGACTCTCTACAGTCTCATGTTTCTGTCACTGCTTTAATACGATCTGACGGAGAGAGGGGGAGACACAGCGAGGAGGAGTGTGCCGAGTGACTCACTAATTAAAATCTTAATGCACCAATTTAGAATCTTGAACATGAGAATCATGAATGAAGATGTGGTGGAGCGCTGCAAAAAATGACTTGTGTCGGGTGTCTACTTTCAAGTCAGTCTCTAGTTTGTCCTTTTATAACTAGTGCTAGAACTTTTGAGGGAAAGTTGGAAAATGGCACAAATTGGAAAAATATAAAGTTATTAATTGAATTATTTTTAATGACCAAAATACCTACATACGAAACTAATGATATTCCCATCAGAACCATTGGCTGCACTTGCCTTTATGCTCATTCACAAACGTTAGCATGATAACCAGATACCTATGATGGTGAACATGGTAAACATTGTATCTGAACATCAGCATGTTAGCTTACGTTAGCATTGTTATTATTTCTGTTAGCATAACTCAAAACCACTGTCACACAGCCTCAGAGCTGGCAATGTGGGTCTCCAATTAATAGACACATTTATGTCCATCTTCATTTTGATTAAGATTAACTTTCATTTCTTAAAGTTGTTATTTTGTAATTCCATGGAGACCTGAGTCTAATCTACTAGTCAACCAACATAAAGTAAATCTATAAATATTTGGATTTCGCAGGATAAAGTTAAACTGAAATACTATACTTCTGTTATTTTAGAAAAACTGATCTAGAAAAATGCAAGATTTGAAGACTAAATTCAACATGAAAATGAACAGTGGAAATGTATATTTTTTGCAGTGGGAGAGATGGGGGTGTGTGATGACGAGGGAGAGGATAATCAAAGAGAGACGGAGAGAGGAGGCAGAGAGGCTGAGGGGTGGAGGGATGAGATGGATGCTGAAAATGAGAGAAGGGATACAACAAAATAAGCAGACACCAGAGAGAGAGAGAGAGAGAAACAAGGGAGGGAAGGAGAAATGGAAAGAAGGTAGAGAGAAAAAAGTGTAGTGGAGAAAAGGAGAAGATGGGCGAGGGAAAGCGAGAGTGAGAAAAACACAGTGTCAGTCATGTGCGGGGGTGTTGTTCTGCATGCGTATAAGCCCGCAGCTTATCTTGCCCTACTTTCCCTCCAAAAAAGTGTAGAGCTACAAGCAGAATGCTCATATGTACACTATGTGAAATGTGTTTCTTTACGCTCCCTCCTTCCAATCACAGCTAGAACATCATCTAGGCTGTGAAGCCCTCACCATTTCATGTTTTTCTCTATGTTTTTGGGTTGTCAGCTCAGATGAAACACTTTGTTTGACTGGACCTAATGCAGTTCCGGCGTGGCACATGTGGATTATTCATGTGTTTAACATGCCATTGTTTCTGCAAGGCTTGGCATGGGCTTATTGAGGGCGTGTCTGGTGTCTGGTGTGTGTGTGTGTGTGTGTGTGTGTGTGTGTGTGTGTGTGTGTGTGTGTGTGTGTGTGTGTGTGTGTGTGTGTGTGTGTGTGTGTGTGTGTGTGTGTGTCTGGACCCTCTTAAGAAATACAAATCTCGATTTGTATTTCTTAAGGGAACTCGACAGATGAGTGAATGAAGGCAGGGATGTCTGGTGTAAAGCAGGTTAACTCACGTGTTGCTGAGGTTCCAGCAGAGACGGTGCTCTGTGACGGGAAGCAGAGTGTGGTGGGGGATTCCCAGCGCGATCCGGTATACGTAGGTCCGAGAATTGGCACGGAAACGGGCATGGAAATTATCAGGCACACGGAGGGCACGGGTGATTCTGGGAGAGTGACAAAATAACTGTTACTGTAGGTTGAAAGCTGACATCCATTTAGGCCTGAAAAGCTTCCAGAATTCAACTTCTCCTCAATGTCTTATGTCATCAATGTGCAATTATTTCTTTTAAAATGACAGAAAGAATGTCATCAAGGGGAGACACTACAGGTGAAAGGCGTTAACATGTTTGAATGAAGAGATATCAACACAAACTTAGACAATAATGTCAGGTAAAAGCAATGTTTCATTAAAAGTTTCCTGACATTATCTGTTTAAATATGCTTGTGAGGCATGATCAAATGTAATCTAGCAATTACAAATAGACAAAGTGCAGCAAAAATAAAGACCTAAATGTGTATTTTGGGTATTTTCTTTACCCTAATCACAAAATATTTGACAGTTATATGTTTTGACCAGTTCATAAAAAAAAAGAAGATAAAATGTATATATATATATATAACTTTTCAAATTGTTCAAGCTCTGGTGATAATTGATAATGAAATCATCGCCAAGGCTGTTTTATAATGAAAAATATTGTTCCCTATGATTCAAATCTGTTCTGTAATAGTTTTCCTTGGCTTATTCTGCACTAGTCCACCTTCTAACAAACTAAATAACAACCACAATCACGTCACTGGTGGAGGTAACTATCGTACATGAATATATTAAATTGTAAAAGGTTTTTCTACAGAGTTATTCCAAATCCCAGACAATAATAAATAAAACATGCACATCCACATCTCCACATTTAGAGCTTACATCTAATATAGCTTACATAACCTCCAGGTGAGGGAGAGAGGGATCAGGATTGCTGTAGTTGCATTTTATTTTGTATCATAACGTATCACAAAACTATCTTCTATCTACTGAATGCTTTCATTATAATTCTTCATACATGTCTGACACACACCACCTCCCTTTAATGGGTCAGAGATGTTTTGTTCAGTAATAATACAGTGAGGAGTGGGGACTCTTTAATGCTTACATCTGTAAAATGAAGAACAAAGAGCTGTGCCAGGGTGACTGTGACCGCAAAAACTACAATAACACCCTGTAGCATTCGTCCACACGCCTGTGCATGCACTAAGAAAATGCTCCCATGCATGCGTGTGTTTAAAAGAAGGCTGGAGGTGATAAGAGCCGTGTATGAGTATATGGAAGTATGAGAACAATGCTCCAACATCCCATATATGTGCACATATGTCTAATTTTCTGTTCACAGCAGGGCACATTCAGTCAGTCTGTGTGTGTGTGTGTGTGTGTGTGTGTGTGTGTGTGTGTGTGTGTGTGTGTGTGTGTGTGTGTGTGTGTGTGTGTGTGTGTGTGTGTGTGTGTGCATGTGCGTGTGTGCGTGTGTGTGTGTGTGCAATGACAGAGAAACTAGGTTACGTTTCCAGGGGAGGAGATTGGGCGCGACACGTGGCAGAGGAAACCCTTGCTTTTGCCTTCAGTGTCTGCTCTGATGTGAAATGACAGGCCTGGCCCCCAAACCACACACACACTACATTTTCATAAGCAGTGTACAAAGCATGGTCTCACACATCTGGGAACTGGGGCATTGTTTGGCATGGCACCATTTTGCTACTCAGCAGTTTGCCCTTATGGGAAACTGGCTGCTCATTTCAGGCTAACTGAGGCCCTTTTTGGCGGCAGCACAGCAGACGAATGAACCCCCGACTAAAGAGGTATTTTCTCAGCGTGCAAGTCCACATTTAAATCTTGTATTGGCATTCTACCTTAGGAGGCAGCAGACCAAAGCTATACGCTGGAAGCCATATTGTGATTGATGCTGCAACAAAAAACTATTTTTGGTTACCTCTTCCATCCAAGTAAGAAGTGAAAAGATGGTTTAGGGTGCGTTTTTATGAAAATGCACAAATTAATGGGGATTTTGTATGAATATAACTGGATAAATATTACTGGTAGATGAAAAGGTTGACACTACGTATACAGTATAAGGCATTTTGGAAGACAGGAAGCGTTTTTATACTGTGTATTTGCAGGTTTCACACTCAATCACAGTAATTTCCATTTAGTTGAAGGAGTGTATCCGTGTGTGTGTGTGTGTGTGTGTGTGTGTGTGTGTGTGTGTGTGTGTGTGTGTGTGTGTGTGTGTGTGTGTGTGTGTGAGGGAGTGTGTATAAGGGATGCTATAGACCAAAAAGCAGAGAAGGGATAATCCTTTCTAACCTTCTCTCTGCAGGTTTAGGGATTAGTGGGATGCTGGGAGCTTCCCTTTCCTCCCTCCTCTCTTCTCTGTCTGCCTCCCGAATGGCTCGTTCTGTTTCACACTCTCACTCCTCTGTCTTAATTCAGTCTTATCCACATCGGTTCGGTGCTCTTGTATTGTCTTACCTTCCTATCCGTTAATCTATCACTCTCCTTGCCCTTCCCTGTTTCTGTCTCTGTGGTTATTTTTTATTTTCTTCTATCAGACAGAAAAACTGCTGTCTTGATATTGCATCACAGAGACGGACTGCATGAGACTAAAGAGGATATTAATGTGAAGTAATACTTTGTTAAGGACAGGTTTCACACCGCACACAGTCATTACACCACCAGGCCAAAAATAGATAAGAGTTTTTGTCGTGACTACTTCACATATCCATCCAATTATTGTAAAAATTATATATCCTGAAGAAAATGTTCTTAACATTTCTCACAGAAATCAAGTTGGACGCAAGAATGAACCGATGAGGATGTTTTGTTCACTGTGAACTCGAAAAACACATTGTGGACCACAACTCAAGAATAAGTATGCTCATTTTAAGAATTCACTAAAATGTCTAATGTGGTAAATGATGATGTGATGACTTGAGAGACAGACATGGAAACTGCACATTAATTGATTGGCAGATAAATGAAACCCCAAGGTGGTAATTGTGGATTTGAATGAAAAACAAATCACAATGTTAAAAACCTGTAAATCATTGGGGTGTATTTTTATTTATTTTTCACCTGCACCTATACCTATACACATATACACCTGTGGATTATAAATCTACATATAACACCTGTTGATAATAATTTCGACAGGAAACTCTGTGTCTCTTTCCATTTATCATTGCTAGAATAAAATGTTCTGTGAGTCCTCTGATTTCACAAGCCAGAGAAAAGTGTTGTTCAGTATGAGTGGCTTAATCTTGTTGGATACATTCTCAGTGCATGACCCTGTGTTACATTTAACCCTTGTGTGAGGAGATCATCTCTACTGTTGAATATCACACTCATCTAAGGAGTCCAGACTCACCCAATCTGCTCTTCTTTGAGATGGTTATTAAGAGCCTGAACAATAATGTCTTCGGCAAATGGCGGCTTATCGTTCTTGCGTTGGAGGTCAAAGTGAGCGGAGTTAGAGAGGGCGTGGACGCCTCTGTCTGTCCTGCTGGAAACTGACAGAGACACTGGGTTGATCGGCTTCAGCCTCCTTATTGCATCCTGTACACGGAGAAAGAGAACATCAGAGAGGTTAAAAATAAGCTGTTGGCTCATGTATTGTTAAAGAAAATCTATTTTGGTCTTTTAAAAACAATCATAGCTTACAACAAATAGTCAGAAAGGGGAGTTGAGCTTATTAGCATTCATGCTGACAGTTAAAAAAAAAAGTGAAATACTTGTAATATAAAAACTGTAAATGCATCTATGTACACACATACATTTATACCAAATAAAACCATTCACTTACATACAACCATGCCAAAAACAAACTCCAGCACATACCAAAACTAAACATACTAAAAAAACTATTAAATAATCAAAGTTAAATCAAACCAGGAAAGGTGAATTATGCATAAATGTAAGCAGCAGGATGTGTTTCTTCCTGTGTGTCTTTTCACTCAACCTGTTAAATGTACCAACTAACTCAAACTGAACACTTTAACTCTCGTGGAGAGAGGAGTTATTACAGGACAGTAGGATTGCATTACTTCAATCTACACAACATTTGACTGATGATTGCACATTGTAATCTGCCTGTATGATATGTGTTGTTGTCCCAATGCTATTTGGTATTCAGGCAACTTTACAAGTTATACTCGAATAGTAACTTAGTTCACTTATTTTCTGGTTTGCAGGACCAACAATGACAGAAAGAAGGAAAGAGGAAACATGTATGGAAGGATAATTAAAACTCAAAACGTTTACAAAACTTACCTCCACGTGGTCCTGGACCCCTTTCTTAACAAGTTCATGTTGAGGCATTTTCACTACACCACTGTAGAGATAATAATTATATAATAAATAATAACACACCTTTGAGTGCAACCAGATATCATGCATTATTATTACATAACCTACCTGTATTTTGTTCCAATGTATTGAAAGAAGATGAGATAGCGTGCACAGTTGTGCATGATGTCTCTAAATGTCTTTGACACTTCCTTATCGTAATGTGATACAAATTGGTCATGCGTCAACAGAAGTGGAAGGGTACATTGTAAAATATTCTTTTTACTGTCACAACTTTGACATTAACGCGTCTATGGTAATGACGGGTACTGGGAGCCGGTTAAGGACGACCTTAAAACCTGCAGGTGAGGCACTCAGATGCGACAAACTACATCAGGGACAACACAGCAGGCGCGAGCAGGCAGACTGTCGACACGTGCCGCATTTCCGAGTAGCCTAGTTATATCTGTAGTCCGGAAGAACAGTCGAGACGTCTGATCATGTATCCTTTTATAAATTACCAACATATGTAAGCATTCATGTAAAGTTAAGGCAAAACATGTTCCAAGGGGTTTGCAGCCCTGTCGGTCCCTTTTTGTTTGCGTCATAATCCAAAGAGGGGGTGTGTGTCGACGTCATCCTCGACCAGCCGCAAAGCCATCTGCCTTGAGAATCATTGCGTTCAGAGACGATACAGTAGTGGAGACGGGTCGGTATAAATATAATCAACACGAGCAACAACCGAGTTTAGATCAGTGACAGAGGCGTACCAAGATACGCTTCCTGACATGAATGGTATTTGTTTAAAATGCTGACAAATATGCTACACTGAATTTAGGCTACACAACACTTCAGGTAAATCAGAGATTCATCTGTTACAAATCTGGATTTTCAAAAAGCTAAAAGGCTAACTTTTGACAATCAAAAAGTAGAATATAATCAATATTCTGCTTTGTTCAAACTGCTGAATGTTTTAGTTATGTTTTATCTGAGTTTTGGCATAATAATTGGATTTAGTAGTACAAGTACCCAGTGCAATGCTCTACATTTTTAAACGACCCGAAACACTATGCTGATATTCTCTCATTTCTAAATGTGTTACTTTTATGTGGACTATTTTTTGTGCAAGAAACACATCGCAAGCATTGCATATGGAAATGAATGTGTGTGAAATATATTTCTGTTATACTGATTGGGGCTCCATGGGTTTGAGTGAGGTTTCTCCCATGATTCCTCCTGTTCTCCAGATGTGTTACGGCAGGTGGTAACTAGTCGGCGCTCTATTCCACTCTTTCACTCTCTCAGCAGCTACGTCTATCGCCTGTCTCGCAGCAGCGGCAGCATTGTAGTAGTAATCCGCCTGCCGCGCACAGAGCTCGCAGTTTGTGTCACGGTGCCACCGGGATAGGGGCGACAGACTGCTGCGCGTCAGGGGACACCGACCAGTCACCATCCGCACAGTTCAAGCGACATCCCTCAGCGGGCAATGACATTGGCAAACTGAACGAGGAATACACGAGAAAAACGCAAAAATGACGGTGGACTTTGAAGAATGTATAAAAGATTCCCCCCGATTCAGGTAAGGCTGCTCCTCACAGGCACATCACAGCGGTGCGCAAAAATGGCACACCTTATTTTACGCATGATATTTTTGGATGGGGACCGAACAGTCCCCTCATGTTGTGGTGGCATCTACAGAGAAAATACTACATTGTTACTCGTCCATGTGTTCAACAGCATGATGGCGTTTTTCTTCCATTTTGGTCTTTTTTTTTGCATTTCCTAAACCATTTAATCATATTCCAAGTATTTTCTTTTAAATGTCATTTTTTGGTTTGTTATTAAAACATTTATTTGCATCTAATGCATTTGCTGGAGGACACGTGCATGTCTGTCAGTGGTTGCGATCTGGTTTTCCGAATGTGGTTTGGCTCAGTGCATACAGTATGAGAAGAGGGACACTCATTGCCACGCATAGTGAGGATCCATTTTGCTCCAGTGTAAAAATGATAAGTGATTTTCAGCATGCTTAATCAACAGTCTGAAGTGCACTGTAAAAGAAGGGGGCACTCATTTGAATGTGGCCTTATAACAAGTTATTCCTGTGCGTGAAACAGTGTTGCAGCATGGCATACAGGTTGGGTGCAGTCTTTTCTCATGGAGGAGGCCCTGTCATCCACTGGTGGTAGATTGGAGAGGAGATGCCTTGCAGAAGCAGCAGCTCGCAGAGGCATCAGGGAGAGGAGTACACTCTCTCTGCAGGGATAGAGCTTGTATCCTGGGCACAGATCCAGCTCTTCGGCCCCTTGCATGCCCGCTTGAGGGTTGTAGCCTCACTCAGTCCACGTGCCAGTCTGGCACTCCTGTATAGGCCGATGGGAAACTAGAAGATGAGATTCTAATAGCATATAGGCCAGGGATGCCCTGTTAAATATGTCAAAAGAAGGGCTGGTAGTGCTTTTTTCAGCATTTGACTGCAAAGAAGCCAAAGCTGTTTACAGACAAATGTTGTTTTCTCTAACTCTGTTTCTGGTTGTCTCAGCATCTGTTGCTTATTTGCTCTCATTTGGTTTCTTCCCTCTTCCACTCTCAGAAACAACTTATCCTCTTTGTTGAACGTTGTGCCACTCAAACATTTGTGATTTGAATGAACACAGTGTAATGAAATAAAGAGAGCGGAGAGAGACAGACATTCAATTTGCTGCTAAAAAAATCCCATCACAGTGATGGATGGCTGAAGCAGAAGGTCACAGGAAGAGACATTTTCTGCCTGGTTCTCTTTCCTCTGGTCTTGTAAGGCCTGTAATTTATTTGGAAAATCCCCACAATGATAAAGGAAGCTGATGTTCCCTTGGGTTTACAAGCAGTAGGGAAATTATAATGTTGCGTAACACTGTGATCATGATTATTGAGAAGAAAATCCTTATCCTTGTTCGGATCATATTTGGATTAAATAGAGGATGAGTTACCTTTTTTTCATTCCCCTGTACACATGATATTATCTAGGTTTATGATCATCCGTCGATGCAGGACCTTTTTGCATGTAAACACATGTTTGTTTTTTGAACACACTTCACAGTGTTCCTCATGACATTATGTTACAATAATCAGGCAGCTATTCTTAATGCCTAGACAGCTACAAATAAATACCCAAATAGTAAATACATGGGACACAGCCATTACTTCAAACTGCGATTTCGTTATGGGCAGTCATTACTGAATTTTACATCATTTTGCGGTCTGGGTTTTTTGATCCTCTTTGTTGTGTCACTGTGGAGAAACAGAAGTAGAAAGAGCCGGTCCTGTCTGTCCTCCCACACATGGCGCTTTAAAAAACGCTCCCACACCCCTTCTCACTGCAGGTCCTAACTTGAGCTGGTCCTGTTGTATTTGTCTCTGCATGATTAGTTGAGTGTGAAGGAATTGATATGATATGTCCTCATAATCTATAACACACACCTTTTGTTCAGACTGTCTACGCTAAACTTTTTTTTCTCTCGTCCCGGCCTTTCATTCAGCGCTCACCTGCTGCAGTCATTCATGCTGTAACAAAAGCTGACATGAAGCCCTGTGCATTGCACCTGTTTTTAGTTGTTGTTTTTGTAATCTCATTCCCTAAAGAAATGTTTGGTCAGTTTTTGGCTTGTCTTCACTCATGGTTTAAGAATGTGACTAATTGAGTGGGAGCCTGAAATCTGAGGGTTTTCAGAAAGACTGCTTCTCTAGTTGTTTGGGTGGTGTTTATCTAATGGCAGAACATACATTTGGTCGTACATGTTTTCAAAAAGGTAATTATTGTCAACTTAAGCCAATTGACTTGATCATGAAATCTTGATAAGAAGTGCTAGACGTAGTGTTTTAATGTATTTATCATTAAACAGTCTAACGGTCCAAGTGTACAGTGCACTTTTTTTGTTTCACCTTTAAATCACCAAACTAGTGATCATAAAGGCAGGTACATGTTCTTTTTATAACTAAGTCTTTTCATTGACAACATTGTTATGATATAAGTAATCATATGCATATGTGGGTATGAGCTGTTGCCTAGCAACAGCTGCTGTAAGTGAGACACATGGGAGCTTGGAGAAAAGAGGACGAGACTTTGAGAATGGAGGAGGCGAGTGGATGCTTTGAAAAGATACTGTCATTATTTTAAATGTCCCACACAGTGAAGAGTTTCAATGTGACAAGCAGGTTTGACTACTTTCTGTTTTGATACATTTCATTGGGTAAAAGTATAGTAACATTACTTTGTGAAACTACCAGTGTAGCTGTATTATTAATGACTTTACCCACTTACCCAAGTCATTATATCAACATTACTGATGATTATTTTCCTTCTGTGAATATGTTGTGAAAGCACCAATGGTCAACCTTCAATATTGTCCCAACATATTGAGATTTTCTCTATTTCACCCAGCCCTAACACTGTTTATGGAAGTGTATATGTGGCCTGGAGGGGTTTCAGCAGGTCAGGGAGTGTACAGATGAACAGATTGGAGAACCAGCCGCACCTGTTGGCCTCTTCCTGTCATTTGTCTGAGTCTTTTCATCCCACCCACATACAGTGCACAACATCGGGCTATCCAGACAGGTTGAGTGAGTGAGTCAACAAGATTCAGAAAGTGACAGGAAACAGATAGGAAGAGTGAACACACAAGGGGGGTTATGTTGCAAATGTGATACTCACCCTTACATGTCTTGTATTCTTACATCGTTTTAAATTAATGTGACATAAGACGTTTAGTAAAAGTGGGATTTTGCTAACTATGTTCTAAAGTAATCTACTGCCAAAACCACAGAGCATTTTCAAGGAATTACGCCAAAACCAGTTGAATGAATGCCGACTGTTGCCAGTAGTCATCAACAGTGAATTATTTCCCATACAGGACTTTAAAGGGTTGTGTAACACTTACCACCTTCATATCATTCGAAAGTTGTCAAACCTGCTTATATCTGACCTCATATTCAGATAAATGCTTCAGGCTCCAGGTGGCTGCATGTCATAACATGAAGCCAATTGCTGAGGAAGACACATTCACAATCAGGTAGATGTTTAAGTATTTTGTTTATCTGATAATATCTGTAAATAATTTCATCATGTTCCTGCTAAGGCCAAACTATTTGCATTTTCATAAAAAAGTATATTTAAAATGATTAAGTTGTGATTTTTGTGCGAAGATCGGTGCCAAACAATGTTTTTTGCTTAACAGCCTGTTACATCAGTTGGTCAGTTGGATACAAAATATCCAGACCTCGGGCAACCTAAGTTCTCTCCCTATGGAGGCAGACATTTGGCATGGTGGTCAAATGTGTGTGTGTGTGTGTGTGTGTGTGTGTGTGTGTGTGTGTGTGTGTGTGTGTGTGTGTTCAAGTCAGTGAAATACTTCTTGTGGACTGGACACACAATACGACTAATTCAGAAGGGGATTTTGACACAATCTTTGCCTTTATCAAATGTGGTGTATTATTATTTAATCACCAATAGCAAACATTTTGATAAAATCCTGACTATTTGCTCATTCCTAGTTGTCACTTTGACCGTAAGGTGTGCACTTCTCCTGTGGTTACCATAGTTAGGAATAACAGATGTGAGAAAGGTAAAAAAACTAGAGATGTATATAATATTTTGACTGATGATTATTGATTCCCTTCCTTTGCACAATATTGAACACGATTGTATTCCCTGTGCTGCAAAAATATTAAGCCATAAAGAATTATTATAAATTAATTCTATTGAAAACCTATGCAGACAGTTTACACCAGGATTTAATATTAGGTAAAGGAAGTTCAACAACATTTTATGTTTATATAACTAATTAATGAGCTGGATTTGTTGAGATTTAAAAGCTATGTAAAAAGTGGCTTTTTTCCCCTCGTGTATCTGATTTCCTGCATTATTTTAAAAACATGTCTCCATTTATTGGCAGATTAAAGTGCTTTGTGATGCTCCAGATATCTGTCTGGCGCCCTGCTTTCTCTCAACTGTCTGACATTTTCCCAGCTTCAACATCACCTATAATCCTCTTTCTACACACATCATAGTTTTGCTTATCTAAGATACTCAGTTCCTATTGGTCAGCAGCCTGTGAAATATGTAAATATGCACCTTGTTGCTTACGTTGTTGCCAAGGGTGACCAGCTTCTTCGGCGTCCATGGCAACAACCTGTTCCTTTACCTCCGTCAGCAGGCACAAATGTGTCCCACTTGCTGAGAAACACATACCAGCGGAGAGAGCACTGGTCTATTATTTGCAGGGAACATGGAAAAGTACATAGTGACCTTGAAAAGGAGCAGGTGATTTTATAAGAAAATGCGTTAGAGTGCTGAATAAGATGACCTGTTGACAAAGTAGGCTGACATTGATGTACTGCATGTTAGCTAATGCAATGACGCTGCCTGGAAAGACCAAAGCCAGAGGCATAAAGTGCCAGCTTTCACCCAATGTCCTTGTCTGTTTGTCTTTAACTTATTTTGCAGGAAATCTCTTTCAAAGCGGCCGTGGCCCTCTGAACGTCACCAGAAATAGATCCTCTCTGTAACATCAAGTCCTTGGCAAAACATTTAGAAAGACCACT